ATTTTACAATTTTTGTGTTTTCCAGGTTTTCGATTCGGTTCGGTTTTTCTTTCCATTTTTCGAATCATTTTTTTTATTTTTGAGTTTCTCAATTTTGAAATTTTCAGTGTTTCACTTTTTCGTTTGTTCAGTTCTTCAATTTTTCGATTAGCAATTTCGCGAGTTTTCAGTTTTTAATTTTTCAATTTTTTGATTTACAATTTTTCGTTTTCGCTTTATTTTCTTTGTTTTTTAAATTTTTGTTTTGATTTTATAATTTTTTTTCAATGTAGAATTTTTTAATTTTTGGATTGTTTAATTTTTCGATCTTCGGTTTTCGATTTTTCAGGTTTTTGATTTTTCAATTTTTCGTTCCTGCAATTTTTGATTTGCAATTTTTCTTTAAACATGTAATAATATTGATAATTTTTCAAAATTTCGCTTATTCAGTTGTACAATTTTAGAATTTTTCTCTTTTTCAATTATTGGATTTTTAATTTCTCGATATTTAATTTTCCAAATTTTCGATTTTTCAATGTAATAGGTTTTTGAATTACAAATTTGATGATTATATAATTTTTCGATTTTTAGTTTTTCGATTTTTCCATTTTTCGGTTCGTCATATTTTCGAATTAAAAAACCAAAAAAAAAAATAAAAATGGAAACGTATAAAATGAAAATTTTAAAAATGAAAAATTATAAAATCGAAAGAAATATCAAAAAAATAAAAGAAATATCAAAACGAAAATTTGTGATAGGAATAAAAAATAAAAAATCGGGAAAATGAAAAATAAGAATTAAGAACTTAAAAAATTGTGGAAACTAAAAATTTAAAAATCGAAAAATTAAAAATTGCCAAACTGAAAAATCGAAAAATGAAAAACTGTAATATCGAGAAATTGCAGAATTGAAATCGAAATTTTGATAAAACGAAACACCGAAAGTAGAGGAATTGAAAAACTGAAAAATTTAAACTTGAAAAAACGAAAAATAATTATGAAACTGAAAGATTGAAGAATAGAAGAATAGAAAAAAATAAAGAAAATGAAAAACCGAAAAATTGTGATATGAAATCCAGAATATGAAAATTAAAAAATCCGTAGAATAAAAAATAAAAATTAATTAATTAATTAATTGAAAAATTGAGGAAACTAGAAATTGAAAAATCCAAAAATAAAAAATTAGGAACCTGAAACATGAAACTTTGTAATATCGAGAAATTGCAAAATTGAAAAGTTGCAAATTGAAAAATTGAAGAAACGCAACATTGAAAAATTTAAGTTGAGTATTTAAAAAATAGAAAAATTTAAAGTTGAAAAACGAATAATTATGAAACTGAAACATTGAAGAAAAGAAGAATTGAATAGGTAAAGAAAATGAAAAACGAAAAATTGTGACACAAAATCGAGAATATGAAAATTAAAAAATCGGGAAAATGATAAATAAAATTCAAGAACTTGAAAAATTGAGGAAACGAAAAATTTAAAATACGAAAAATGAAAAGTTGTCAAACTGAAAAATCGAAAATGAAAAACTGTAATATCGAGAAATTGCAAAATTGAAAAGTTGCAAATCGAAAAATTGAAGAAACGAAAAATTGAAAAATTTTGACGTCAAGAAATTGAAAAATTGAAAAATTTTGACGTCAAGAAATTGAAAAATTGAACAATTAAAGTTGAAGAACGAAAAATTATTCAACTGAAACATTGAAAAATAGGAAAATTGAATAGATAAAGAAAATGAAAAACGAAAAATTGTGATATAAAATCGAGAATATCAAAATTTAAAAATCGGGAAAATGAAAAATAAAATTCAAGAACTTGAAAAATTGAGGAAACGAAAAATTTAAAATACGAAAATTGAAAAGTTGCTAAACTGAAAAATCGAAAAATGAAAAACTGTAATATCGAGAAATTGCAAAATTGAAATGTTGCAAATTGAAAAATTAAAGAAACGAAACACTGAAAAATTCGGAAGTGGTGGAATTAAAATATTGAAAAATGTAAAGTTGAAAAAACGGAAAATTATGAAACGGAGACATTGAAGAATAGAAGAATTGAAAAGATAAAGAAAATGAAAAAACGAAAAATTGTGATATAAAATTGAGAATATGAAAATTAAAGAATCCGTAAAATGAAAAACAAAAATCAAGAACTTGAAAAATTGAGGAAACAAAAAATTCAAAAACCGAAAAATTAGAAATTGCTAAACTGAAAAATCGAAAAATGAAAAACTATAATATCGAAAAATTGCAAAACTAAAAAGTTGCGAATCAAAAATTGAATAATTATAATAATAATAATAATAATAATATATTAATGCATATAAACATACAAGTTTTTTGCATAAGTCACATGTACACACAATAAAACAATAAAAATAGAAATGAAACACTGAAAACTTTGGAAGTCGAGACATTGAAAAATCGAATAAATTAAAGTTGAAAAAAGGAAAAATTGTGAAACTGAAACATCGAAGAATAGAAAAATTGAAAAGATCAAGAAAATAGAAAATTGAAAAACTAAAAATTGTGATATAAAATGGAGTATATGAAATTTAAAAAATCCGGAAAAAAAAATTTTTAACTTAAGAACTTGAGAAATTGAGGAAACGAAAAATTCAAAAACCGAAAAATTAAAAATTACCGAACTGAAAAATCGAAAAATGAAAAACTAATATCGAGAAATTGCCAAATTGAAATGTTGCAAATCGAAAAATTGAAAAATTTGGATGCCGAGCAATTGAAAAATCGGAAACTGGGAATTTGGAAATTTAAAAAATTGTAGAATCGAAAGAACTATTAAAAAAAATAAGGAAAATGTAAAACGAAAATCTGTGATATAAAAAATAAAAAATCGGGGAAATGAAAATTATAAATTAAGAACTTGAAAAATTGAGGAAACGAAAAATTTAAAAATCGACACATGAAAAATTGTAATCTCAGAAATTGCAAAATTGAAATCGAAAAATTGAATAAACGAAACACTGAAAAATTTGGAAGTGTGGAATTAAAAAATTGAAAAATGTAAGGTTGAAAAAATGAAAAATTATGAAACGGACACATTGAAGAATAGAAGAATTGAACTGAAAAGATAAAGAAAATGAACAAACGAAAAATTTTGATATAAAATTGAGAATATGAAAATTAAAAAATCCGCAAAATGAAAAACAAAAATCAAGAACTTGAAAAATTGAGGAAACAAAAAATTCAAAAACTGAAAAATCGAAAAATGAAAAACTGTAATATCGAAAAATTGCAAAATTGAAAAGTTGTGAATCAAAAATTGAACAAACGAAACACTGAAAAATTTGGAATTCGAGACATTGAAAAATTGAATAAAGTAAAGTTGAAAAAACGAAAAATTATGAAACTGAAACATTGAAAAATAGAAAAATTGAAAAGGTAAAGAAAATAGAAAATGATAAAACGAAAAATTGTAATATAAAATCGAGTATATGAAGTTTAAAAAATCCAGAAAAACAGTGACAAATTTGGAAATCGAGTAATTGAAAAATTGAAAAATTTTTGAAAGTTGAAACAACGAAAAATTATGAAACTGAAACATTGAAGAAAAGAAGAATTGAATAGATACAGAAAATGAAAAACGGAAAATTGTGACACAAAATCGATGAAAATTAAAAAATCGGGAAAATGAAAAATAAAATTCAAGAACTTGAAGAATTGAGGAAATGAAAAATTTAAAATACGAAAAATGAAAAGTTGTCAAACCGAAAAATCGAAAAATGAAAAACTGTAATATCGAAAAATTGCAAAATTAAAAAGTTGTGAATCAAAAATTGAAGGAATGAAACACTGAAAAACTTGGAAGTCGAGACATTGAAAAATTGAATAAATTAAAGTTGAAAAAACGAAATATTATGAAACTGAAACATCGAAGAATAGAAAAATTGAAACGATAAAGAAAATTTGAAATAAAAAAATTAAAAATTGTGATATAAAATCGAGTATATGAAATTTAAAAAATCCGCAAAATGAAAAATAAAACTTAAGAACTTGAAATCGAAACACCGAAAAATGAAAAACTATAATATCGAGAAATTGCAAAATTGATAAGTTACAAATCGGAAAATTTAAAAAACAAAACAGTGAAAAATTTGGAAATCGAGGATTTGAAAAATTGAAAAATTTTTGAAAGTTGAAAAAACGAAAAATTATGAGACTGAAACATTGAAGAAAAGAAGAATTGAATAGATAAAGAAAATGAAAAACGAAAAATTGTGACACAAAATCGAGAATATCAAAATTAAAAATTCGGGAAAATGAAAAATAAAATTCAAGAACTTGAAAAATTGAGGAAACAAAAAATTTAAAATACGAAAAATGAAAATTTGTAACACTGAAAAATCGAAAAATGAAAAACTGTAATATCGAGAAATTGCAAAATTGAAAAATTGCAAATCGAAAAATTGAAGAATTTGGATGTCGAGAAATTGAAAAATTGAAAAATTAAAGTTGAAAAAACGAAAAATTATGAAGCCAAAGCATTGAAAAACAAAAAATAGAAAAAAATAATGAAAATGTCAGAACAAAAAATTGTGGACATCGAAAAATTGCTCTAAGGTAAATGAATCCAGAATTTTCGAAAAATTATAAGATTTGATTTTGTTTATTTTTAAGTTTTTAATAAATTTTGATCAACGGTTTCAAAGCAATATGTTATTATACAATTGTGTTTTTTTTTAATCTTGACGTCTAGGGTTAAAAACAGAACACGGATTCTACAGCCAAATGTGAAGTAAACCACTGTTCAGGTTTTTTTTACCTAATTTTTATTTTGACTAGAAACAATATGGACTGTGTTTCCTGTAGTACCAATGCGAAAACAACAGAGGCCCAAGAATGGACCCTGGAGGAACTCCATAATTAATGCAAGCAAGGTATGATAAGTTGCTACTGAATTTTACTTGTGGAAATTATGGACATTTGAATTTAGGTTAGACGATTAAAAAAATACAGTTATAAATAAATATACTATAATACATTAAATAGAACTTAAAAACACGTTTCCATTTCTCTGTATACACTTAGGTACCATTTTCCGTTACCTGTTCTACCATTTCAATCAACCTAAAAACACCGTCATTAGAAAAAAGCAGCGTCACAAAATTCCAACAAACCTAGCCACCGTTAAATTTCTAATATCCTTAAGTGACAACGAAATCCCAAAATCTAGCTCCAAAATTTGGACAATCTGTGCACCCCCAATGGAGTCTATACCAACTTGAGCCAAAGTACTTGTCATATTAACGTTTCTAACATCCTTGATTCCCAAAACATGAGCGACTCTCTCTAGAATACCCTTTTGTTCAGCGTGGTCAACATTCTTTTCAGCAATCACGGTACTGGAAACCACAGGATTCGGTTGGTTTAGAACCTCATTTAAAACATCGAAGCAAGACGACAGTTTTTGGGGTACTAAACCCTGGAATGGTACTTTGTCTGGTTTAGAAGACACACCAAGCTATAATGGACATGCATTAGTAAAAACGTGTCAGTTGATTTGTGGTACCATACATCTTCAAGTGGACCCCACTGTATAACCAAACCGGGTAAACCATCGTTTCGTCTTTTTTCGCAAATTCGTTCCACAATAAAATTCGCCATACCAGAATTATTCTGACAAACCGTAGAAAACGTGACAAAATATCTACAAAAACAGTGATAGATTTTTACATCAATTCTGTTAGTAGGTACCTCAAATTCTGACAATTTTCTCTTGTGATTTCATCCAAACAAGACGCAATTCTCGATCTTAGTTTGGATGGTTCTAGGTTAAAAATGCCATCCACGGGTCCCAAATTACTTGCTTCTTGTACCAGTTGATAACACCCTCCTTTCGTGGTTGCGTCTCTGGTGGAAAGTACCACAGTCGCACCACGAGATTTCCACAATCTACGACAATCTTATGAATTCAAATTATGACGGTTGTAAAATATTGACCGAATTTTTCGTGCTTGGTACCCCGTTTGGAATCGAGATTTCGCTACTAGTACGATTTTTGTGGCATCATTTGCCACCAGCCAGTTCGCAAGCTCTAACCCAAAACCGTCTAAACTTTCCACTATTACGTACGATTTGTCTTTGTGGCAGCAAAATCTAGTACCATTTGACGTTCTGGGTCCTTCGTGTAAGGGTAAATATCTATAAGTACCCTTTTTATTATTATTGTTGTCTCTGGTACCATTCACCCGTATACAAGGTTCGTGTTTCAAACCATTCTGCACTATACTAGTCAATTTTGATTTTTCTAACAAAATCAGTTTCTCGTCTTTAGTAAAATGTTCCGTCAGTACTTCCAAATTGTCAATTTTTTTGCAGTCAAAATGACGGTCTTCTCGTGCCAAAATAAAACCACGATCACCAAGTGAAGTCAAAATTTGGTTCAAAATGCTTGGTTTTTCTAACACTTTTGTGGCTACAACCAGAAGCAAATTCTGCGATCGGGTTAAAGGAACGTTCTTTGGGTACTTCTCGAGGTCGGTTTTAGTACTAACTGTAAAGTCAGAAGTTACCAACGGCATCTCGTTTAGTATTTGGTGCACTGTGGGAAGTGAAGGTTCAACTTTATTATTGTCGTCAAAAATTTCTACTGCGTTGATATTGTCTTGGCCAGATTTTTCAACTATTATTTGTGTGTTGACACGTAATGAGTTTTCCAAAGTTAGTGCAACCACGTCTGGAATAAACACATGTTTGGTCAGAACTGGCGTCTGGTGGGACTGGATTTTGGTTCGTTTTGTGGCGACACCATAGACTTCGACTCCTCCAGATCTAGACAAAATGGTTAAAACAAATTTTGACTAGTTTGGACAAATACTTAATGATTTTGCAGTTCTTGTAAGCAAAAAAGGGACACGTTTTTTTCGCAGTCACATGATTGGGAGCATCTATGGTCAATCGTCGTATACCAACCGGAATACAATGACAATTCGTGTCGTCCTGAAGCACCGCTACTTGAAGCAGACTGTCTAAGAACGTTGTCCAATTATTTTCCCACCGTAACAACCCTGTGCTTACGTCAACATTGCACTTCTTAACCCCTTTAAACAAACCACCATAGTTGTAATTTTTGAGATTCAACTCTTTATAAATATCGTCTTCAGTCAAAATTTCGGTTGGATCTTCGTCACCACAACTACAACTCGGGATGTCAATCTGGTACATTTTGACATCTTCGGGTACAAAAATTCTTCCACAGGCCACGACGGTGTTGTCTTTGCACACTTCAAAATTTCCACTACCCAGCAAAATTGACACGAAAACTTTAAGCTTGACTTTGTCATTTTTGGGCATTATGAGAGGCTCCAAGAAGTGACAATTTTCAAAAACCACTGCCGAATTTAACCACGGTTTGAAAGTTTGCCAAACCAGATGTAGAACTTGGCTTGCCGGAACGGTACCAACTCCTGAAATTTTGTCAATTATTTGGGTCAAGCGTCTCAAGGGTCGTACCGTCGATTTGATAGCCCGTCAAGTACTCGTAGTTTTCGTACGATATTTCGTAAAGTCGTTGCAGTGAATTGGAGTCCGCGAATTTATAAGTGTACCAGTTTTTGTTGTGGTTCCATTGGACCAAGTGGGATATCATGGGTGTGTTTCGTGGTACTGGGAACTTCACGTTGGGGTAGAGTTTGTGAATTTGGGGGTTGTGTCCGCGTTGGTGTAGTCTGAGGAAATGTTGGATTGTCAAAACGTGGTACTGACGGTCGAATACGTACCTTCCTAGTATTTGTAGGAAATTTGATGATATATTTATGTCGAAAGTGGTACTTCGTAGAGGTTCGTCTGAAATATTCAAAACGGTGGCTTGCTTAGGAACGGGGACTTCGTCGAAGTACTTTGGGTGCGTTTGGTCTACAAACTAAATATTGATGGACAGTTGGAACAAAAATTGGTAACAGTACCGGTAGTCAATATTTGATAGGCTCTTGTTATTGTCTCTTCCAAGTCAATTTTTGTGTCGTGGTAGAGGGTTATTAGATGGTACAGCGGATCGTCAGACAATGGTGTTAACTCAATCTCTAGCAATTTTAACACTTCGACCACCCCCAATTGAACTGCGAAAGCAGTCAAAGTTGTATCCTTCTTCAAATTAACTAAAGCTTTGTCAAAATTTGGTCTTTGCTCCAGGAAACCCTTAAAAATCCTGCAATACAAACGTAACTACTTTGATACGTCACATGTTAGTAGTACCTTTCCGTAGTACTTTTAAAAAGCGGCACTTTTAATAAATGCCTCCCTAAAACCTTAAATCCATTTTCAAAGGGTCCAAAGAACACGAACAAATCCCTTCGTCGTTGATTGTCGAACTTGACCGAAATCTCCTTCACTCCGTCTTTTTCCAAAACGGCAAACCCTCTGAACACGTGACCATTGACATTGTCTTTGAAAATTTGCTGCAGCAAACTTATATAGTTTTCATCTGGTTGTTTCGCCACGTCGTCTAGTAAGTCCAAAACTGCTTCTCTGCTCCTTCCACTAACCAAGACTAATCGTGGAAAGTCAGTTCGTGCCAAAGCATCGTCAATTTTTTTGTTTCCGAAACGTTGTACGATCAAGTGGGTAATGCCACCTCCCCACCCAAAACAATTAATACCAACGTAGGCATCTTCTGGTAGTATTTCCACTTTGGTGACCACTCTCATTCGATTTTGTTCAAAACCTTGGATTCCTTTTTTCAGTTGTTTGACGTTAATGGTGGGTGGGATCAACCCGGTTTCCATGGCGATGATGACTTTGATAAGAGAGCAAAGACCTGAGGAGGCTTCACTATGGCCGATATTGTTTTTGACAGCTCCTACGAGCAGAGGGGTTTGACGCTTTTGGGCAATGGCGGTGTCAATGGAGTCGGATTCGTGTGGATCCCCGATTTTGGTACCGGTACCATGAGCCTCCAAATAACTTATAGCAGATGGGTCAATTCCAGACTCCGACAACGTGTTTTGCATCAAGCGGGTCTGCATCTGAGGCGATGGTACTGTTATGCCTTCCAGTTTGTAACCATCACAGCCAACTTTAATATGGGCAACCTTACAACAAAGAAAATACAGGGGTGCCAAAATTTAGAATTATAATCACCTTTGCGTAAATTCGTCTAGCACTTTTGGCTCTTTGGAGGAAAATACAAGCCACTGCTTCGGATCTAACGTACCCATTGGCATCTTGGTCAAACACTCTGCTTATGCCCTCAGGACTCAAAATTCCAATCCTGTTCAAAAAAATTTACCCAGATGCTAGGAGTATAATTTTAGACGACTTACTCTGCCAACTCCCGACTGACTTCTGGGTGTTGGAGCAAATTGCAAGCAACCACTATGGCATTATCGCACTTCCCTAACCTCAAACTAGTATTGGCCATATCCAACCCAATGAACGAACCACTACAATCCATCTCGATCCCACACGAAGGTCCCCTCATTTTCAAGAAGTAGCTAATTCGGTGCGAAATATCTGCAGTCGAACAGGCCGTGATCCGAAATTTCCGTCTTTTGGTATCCCGTAGAACAAAAACGTCGCTAAAAACGGGAGCCGTGGCTGCAAAAACCCCAGTTTTGGAGCCTCGTAACTCCGATGGGTTGACTCCAGCGTCTAGGATAGCTTCCACTGCAAGCTCTAGCGATTTTCGTATCATGGGGCTCATGGCTTCAGCTTGACCATGGTGCACCCCGAAAAAACCACCATCGAATTTTTCTATGTCTTTGATTTTTCCGAATCGTTTTGGGACGCCGGGTAGATTAACATCCCAGCGCCTGTTGTCTTCGGTGGTGAGATTAAGTTGGTCGAAGAGGTTTTTCTGGAGTTCGTAGACATTGTTGGATTCGGGGAAACGGCCGGAAATTCCTTATGAGATAACTGGTAATCACAATAGGAAAAAAGTGTCAAATTTTACCTGTGATGACAACTTCGTCTCCTGGGGGCGGCGACGATAACCACCTGCCAAAATCATAATCAGCAGACATGATAGTCAAAGGTAAACTGTTACATAACTAGGACGAGACAAAATTTAAATATTAGTGCGCAAGGTTACCAGGACGCGGTAATTAATACTTGTTTTTGCTAAAGGTGTCTACAGTAGGTTTCAATTGACGAAAATTTTTCAGCGAAATCGATTTTTGGTTTCTAGAACTTGCCCCCTTGACGATTTGCACTCCTAGTTTGTTTGAATTTTGTCCAAATGGCTTGGGCACCCGTTTCTTTACGATAATTCTCACTTTTAAAGTGTTCTGCAATTGGAATCACGTATAAAATTTTAACAAATTTTAATGCGGTGAACTGGGTGCTAATGACTAAATTCAGAACACTGATTTAATTTTTAGTACATTCATATCCGTGGTGTGAGTAAACAAGGTCAGGGTGAAACAAGTGTTTTAATGACTAATAAGTTTGGTGGTAAATACTTCCCACAACATTCATATATCTAATTTTGGAGACGCGTAATTAATGTAATTATTTAAAAATTTTTGCACAATATTTTTTATATAATTATCAATTTTTTCAAAATTTCCTATACCTTTGGGGTCGTGGATGTAAACAGTTGAAATGAATCACAAAATTTATATTTGTTAGTAAATGTCGCAGTTTTTTCCATGTTGTGTTCACCACACTGGCATGAACTGTCACACTGGATTTTTAATTGCCTTAACAAAGCTGAATTCGGGCCCTCATTTCGAAACTATTGCATAATTGATAAGTGCAATATTCATGATTGCATTTCATTTTGCAATTTTAATTGCAGATAATTTTGTAAATATTTTGTTTCAAATAGGTTCCCAAAAAGCAAAACGGTTTTCAAATAGTCTAATAAGAAAAGTAAAAAAGATTCCTGGATTCTAAAAATCTAAAGTTTTTAACCATTTTGAAGAGTCTAGGGATTCTAGATATCGTAAAACTTTTAGTGATTCTAAAGAGTCTAGAAACTTTAAAGATTCCAAAAGATTTTAATTATTTTGAAAACGCTAAGAATGCTTCTAAATGTTCTAGTCTACAAAGACATCAAAGATTTGGAAGATTCTAAAGATTAAAAGCTTGTAAGCTCCTTGAAATATTTATAGAATTTAAGCTTCTAGAAAATCTGAGAAGAAAGTCAATACTCAAAAAGGATCTACAAACCTAAAAGAGCTCTAAAGTTCCTAATAAGAAGCTCCTAAAACATTCTAAAGTTCCCAAAAATATCTACTAAAGATTTTTGAATCCTAGAAAGAAGAAATGCTAAAAATTATAGAGATCCTAGAGATTTGGGACATTCTAGTGATTCTAGAAATTCTATATATTTTAGTGGTTCTAGCGCTTCTGGATGATTCTAGAAGTTTTAAAGATTGAAAAAGATTCTAATTATTTTGATGGATATTATAAAAAAAATAGAAGTCTTAATATTATAAGCATATTTTAAAATTATAAAGATTTTATCCACTTCAAGATTCACTAATTTGGGAATCCTAGCGATCTTAAAAAATTCAGTCATGATGATATTCATTATGAGTAAACATTTCAAAAAGTTGTTTAATATCATTAAAATGTTAAAAATTTTAAAAATCTCAAACTACGAAAATTCAAAATATCGAGATTAAGAGTTATGTAAAATGTAAATATTCGGAAAATTCTAAATATAACAAGGCTTGAAAAGTATTAATTTAAGATTTAAGATTGTAAAGACCTCAAGGGCTTAAAGAAATTAGAAATTCTCAGGTTTCTAAATCCTAAATTTATATCATGATGTCTTAAATGGATTTTAAATTAAAAACCTCTGAAATATTGAAATCACAAAGATCTCAAAAATTCTAAACATCATAAAGATCCTAACGATTGTAGAGGTCCTAATCCACAAAGACATCAAAGATTTCGAAAATTCTAAAAATTCAAAGTTTGTAAGCTCTCTGAAATATCTTAAATAACACAAAAAGATTCTACAAACCTAAAAAAGATCTTTAAAGTTCCAGATCAGAAGCTCTTAAAACATTTTAAAGTTCCCAAAAACATATACCAAAGATTTTTGAATCGTAGAAAGAGTAAAGATCTTGAACATTATAGAGACACCAAAGACGCTTAAAATTCTAGAGATACTAGGAATTCTAAAAATTATAGAGATCCTTGAGATTTGGGACATTCTGCATATTCTAAAAATTCTAGTGATTCTAGAAATTATGTATATTTTAGTGGTTCTAGAGCTTCTGGATGATTCTAGAAATTTCAAAGATTGGAAAAATTTTAATTATTTTGAAGATGCTAAAAATGCTAGGATATTAGAAAAAAAATTCTTAATATATATATAATAAGTATATTTTAAAATTATAAAGATTTTAGGAACTTCAAGATTCAACAATATGGGGATCCTAGCGATCTTAAAGAACTCAAAGTCATGATTATATTTATTATGACTACTGTAAACATTTCAAAAAGTTGTTTAATATCATTAACATATTAAAAATTTTAAAGATCTCAAACTGTGAAAATTCAAAACATCGATACGTAAAACGTAAATATTCGTAAAATTGTAAAGACCTCAAGAACTTAAAGAAAGTAGAATTTCTCAGTTTTCTGAATCGTAAATCTACATCATGATGATCTTAAATATCTCGTTACTTAAAAACTCTGAAACTATTGAAATCACAAAGATCTCAAAAATTCTAAATATCATAAAGATCCTAACGATTCTACAGGTTCTAGTCTACAAAGATATCAAAAATTTTGAAGATTCTAAAGATTCAAAGCTTTTAAGATTCCTGAAGTATCTTATAGGTTTTAAGCTCCTAAAATATCGCAGAAGAAAGTCAATACTCAAAGAGAACTCTTTAAACTTCCTAATAAGAAGCTCTTAAAACATTTTAAAGTTCCCAAAAACATATACCAAAGATTTTTGAATCCTAGAAAGGGTAAACATCTTGAACATTATAGAGACACCAAAGACCCTTAAAGTTCTAGAGATACTAGGAATTCTAAAAAATTATAGAAATCCTCGAGATTTGGCACATTCTGCATATTCTAAAGATTCTAGTGATTCTAGAAATATGTATATTTTAGTTGTTCTAGAGCTTCTGGATGATTCTAGAAATTTCAAAGATTGGAAAGATTTTAATTATTTTCAAGATGCTAAAAATGCTAGGATATTAGAAAAAAAAAGTATTAATATTATAAGTCTATTTTAAAATTATAAAGATTTTAGGAACTTCAAGATTCAACAATATGGGGATCCTAGTGATCTTAAAGAACTCAAAGCCACGATGATATTTATTATGAGTACTATAAACATTTCAAAAAGTTGTTTAATATCATTAAAATGTTAAAAATTTTAAAGATCTCAAACTGTGAAAATTCAAAATATCCAGATTAAGAGTTACGTAAAGCGTAAATATTCGGAAAATTGTAAAGACTTCAAGAACTTAAAGAAACTAGAATTTCTCAGGTTTCTGAGTCTTAGATCTATATCTTGATGATCATAAATAGATCTTAATTTAAAAACTCTGAAAACATTGAAATCACAAAGATCCCAAAAATTCCAAACATTATAAAGATCCTAACGATTCTAGAGGTTCTAGTCTACAAAGATATCAAAAATTTTGAAGATTTTAAAGATTCGAAGCTTTTAAGATTAATGAAATATCTTATAGATTTTAAGCTTCTAAAATATCTCAGAAGAAAGTCAGTACTCAAACAGAACTTATTAAAGTTCCCAATAAGAAGCTCTTAAAATATTTTAATGTTCCCAAAAAGATATACCAAGGATTTTTGAATCCTAGAAAGGGTAAATATCTTGAACATTACAGAGACACCAAACACGCTTAAAATTATAGAGATATTAGGAATTCTAAAAATTATAGAGATCCTCGAGATTTGGGACATTCTGCATATTCTAAAGATTCTAGTGATTCTAGAAATTATGTATATTTTAGTGGTTCAGCTCTAGATGATTCTAGAAATTTCAAAGATTGGAAAGATTTTAATTATTTTGAAGATGCTAAAAATGCTAGGATATTAGAAAAAAAAAATAAAAGTCTTAATATTATAAGTATATTTTAAAATTATAAAGATTTTAGGAACTTCAAGATTTCACAATATGGGGATCCTAGTGATCTTACAGAACTCAAAGCCGCGATAATATTTATTGTGAGTACTTTAAACATTTCAAAAAGTTGTTTGATATCATTAAAATTTTAAAAATTTTAAAGACCGCAAAGTATATATGAATATTCAAAATATCAGGATTTAAAAGTTCCGCAAAACGTAAGACTTTGAGAGTATTAATTAAATATTGTAAAAACTTCAAGGACTTAACGAAACTAGCTTGATGATCTTAAATAGATCTTAAATTAAAATCTCTAAAAATATTGAAATCACAGAGGTCTCAAAAATTCTAAACCTCATAAAGATCCTAACAATTCTAAATGTTCTAGTCTACAGAGATATCGTAGATTAAGAAGATTATAAAGTTTCAAAGCTTGTAAGCTCTCTGAAATATTTTATAGATTTTAAGCTCCTAAAAAATATGAGAAGTAAATACTCAAAAAAATTCTACAAAACTTAAAAAAGCTCTTTAAAGTTCTTAATCAGAAGCTTTTAAAATATTTTAAAATTCCCAAAAATATATACCAAATGTTTTTGAATCCTAGAAAGGGTAGAGATCTTGAACATTACAGAGAAACCAAAGACGCTTAAAATTCTAGAGATACTAGAAATTCTAAAAATTGTAGAGGTCCTAGAGATTTGGGACATTCTGGATATTCTAAAAATTCTAGTGATATTTTTCTGTATATTTTAGGGGTTCTAGAACTTCTGATTATTATAGAAATTTGAAAGATTGGAAAGATTCTAATTATTTTGAAGATGCTAAAAATGCTAGAAAATTAAAAAAATATATAGAAGTCTAAATATTATAAGCATATTTTAAAATTAGGAAGATTTTAGGAACTTCAAGATTCAATAATGTGGCAATCCTTGCGATCTTAAAGAGCTCAAAGTGATGATGATATTTATTATGAGTAATGTAAACATTTAAAAAATTCACTTAATATCATTAAAATTTTAAAAATTTCAAAGACCTCAAACTGTGAAAATTAAAAATATCGGGATTTGAAAGTTCCGTAAAACGTAAGACTTTGAGAGTATTAATTAAATATTGTAAAGACTTCATCTACAGCTTGATGTTCTTAAATAGATTTTAAAAAGATTTTGAAGTCAATAAGGATCGTAGACATTCTAGAGAACCTAAAAGTTAACAATATGAAAAACTGAAAATTTTTATTGAAATCACAAAGATTCCAAAAATTCTAAATGTCATAAAGATCATAACGATTGTAGAGGTTCTAGTCTTCAAAGATATCAAAGATTTCGAAGATTCTAAAGATTCAAAGCTTGTAAGCTCCCTGAAATATGTCATAGATTTAAAGCTCCCAAAAAATCTGATGAGAAAGTAAAGACTCGAAAAGATTCTACAAACCTAAAAAATGCTCTTTAAAGTTCCTAATAAGAAGCTCTTAAATCATTTTAAAATTTCCAAAAATATATATAAAAGGTTTTTGAATCCTAGAAAAGATGAAGATCTTGAACATTATAGAGACACCAAAGATGCCTAAAATCCTGGAAATACTAGAAATTTTAAAAATTATAGTGATTCTAGGGA